AAGTATCGTTTTTTGTACTCTGTATCGGCAAGTACTCAGATCCAAGTATCGGTATCGTATCGGTTTGAAAAAATTGGTATCGTTGCATCCCTAGAAATCAATCCTGAAAAACCTGATATGTTCAGATATGGAGTAGAAAAAGAACTGATTAAAAAATGAAGACTTCTGAAATCAAAGGCCTGGAGAGTTTGTTCCCCTCACCACTCGTAGTCCTGGCGTGTGCAGGAGCAGTTAGAGATGGTGACCGGCCGGTCAAAATCCTCTCCGTTAAAACACGTAGCGTGAGGCGCTCGCCTTTTGAACGTTATCTCTCTGCCCAGCAGACACTCATTACCGTGCTCGTCGGATGGGGACCAGTGCTTGTAGTCCTTCTCAGAACAAGGCACGCCTAAAGAAACATCCAAGGAAAAGTAGACATGATGTGGATCTGACAAAGGAGTTGAAATAGTCTTGATGGTATATTTATAAAGTCAGTATTTCTAGATAAACCTTTCTGCTAGCGTGTGTTGCTTAGTATTTATCCTTTGCCTTTCTCCTAGCTTTCATCGTTTCAAGTTACATATTTACTTTTAGAAGTAAATTAGCATTATAGTTATCTCCTATTATTAAATTGGAATTTTGGTGATTAGAAATGACTTTGCTTGTTTCTGTACGTCTTCCTTCTTTTATTTAACCTTTAGTTTTATTTATTTATTTTTTACACAGTAACACATTTTTAAATAATAGAAACTTTTTAATAGTGTTAGCTGCTACTAGAATTTGGTGATTATACATTAATTTATTCCCAAGTTAATAATCATGTGTCTCTGTAAACCATTACTCCTTACTAGCCCTAGGGTCTTCTGGAATTAATGAAATGTAGTCCTCTTAGTTAACAAAAGCAAACAGCTAGCATGTGCTTTTTGGCTATTTAGCTAAAGTACAATCTTTGTAACAAAAATGTAAAGTGAGTTTATTTTTGATACATGAACAGTAGTTGTGTGCAACATTGCTACAGTGTATTACATTTTGTTACAGTTCATTCTCCCTAAAAACTCTGGATGCTATGCTATCACTAGCTACTGTCATTATATGCTAACCAAGCGCACGTTGGCTACATACATGAACTTTAGGTGCTACAAGCAAATGTTACAGATCTTATAACAGTTTTATGATTGTATTCATCGATTAATTAATGAAATTCATTTCTGTCATCTAAATTATTTCATGTAGCTGCTGAGTTATGCTAGTTTTAGCTA